TCCTAATGATCGAATCCATCCTGGTCGCCGCCATGACCCTGACTGTCGTCATGATCAGACTCGGGGCCGCTATCGCAAAGAAAAACGCCATCGTCATCGCAATGTATGTCGACGGTAGTGGCTGATATCCGTCGCGATGTGGCATTACCAACAGGGTTCAACTTATAAGTGGTAACCGCAACAACACAACAACAACAACAACAACAACAACAACAACAACAACAGCAACAACAACAACAACAGCAACAACAACAACAACAACAACAATAACAACAACAACAACATCAACAACAACAACAACAACAACAACAACAACAACAACAACAACAACAACAACAACAACAACAACAACATTAGTAGCAACTGAAGCTCGAACCGTGCTAGCAGCAGCTGTTGCATTCGCCAAGCAAAAGCATCACAACCGAGCAACAACAAACATTGACAACCGCCAGAACAGGCAACGAAACTAAAACCTCACTCGTCCCCGCGGAGCCTCGGGCGCACCATGTCGAAGATGTTCATCCTGTGGGCGCTGTCGAACAGGACGGGAATACGCGCAGGCAGGACCAACAAGTCTTTCAGCGCATCGTTGACCACAGTGTGTATCACATCCTCGAAGAAGGCATAATCTAGAAAATCAGCCACCCCCGTCCAATCCATGGACAACCGGCAGGGCGACGCCATATGCACCGAGGCACCCTGGAGGAAAGGCGGCTCTGGCAAGAGATGGTGGAGACTCAGAAACAGGCGCGCCGCGAACTTGACCTCGCGAACTCCCAACGATGCCCCTTGGAAGACAAACTTGATGTCGGCATCCCCGATGTACTCGATATCCACCACAAGATCCAAAAGCGCGCCAGTGTGTCCGTTTGGGAGCACCCTGAGGTCAATGACCTTCGCAGGAGTTTTGCCGAGAGTACATGGCTGGATGTCCATGGACTGCAGGAAGGACGGCAACTTGGCCCTCACTTCGGGGAGCACCCTCTCTTTGACGACTTGCTCCATCGCGCTGCTAACCAGCGGCCAAAACATCGCGATGACACCATTAATCCAACTCTTGGTAATCGGCAAAGGCACTGGCGACCGTGCCAACAAACCAAACGCATTGTCCACCTCCAAATCACTTCCGTACACGGCTTGCTTGTGCAGCTGTTCCTTCACCGTCTTCCCCGCGTAAGTCACGATCACTGGCCACAGTCGGTGCACCAGCTCCTGGGACGGAAGAATGGATGTCGTGAGATAGCCACCGGCTTCATTACGCAGGGAAACATCGAGCAGAAGGGCCTGCGGGCGATGCCTGTGAGGCAATCATTGCCATCGTTCATGTTGTGTTCTGCCCGTTTCCACTTCTGCTCGTTTCCGATCGGCCCTGGTCCCAGGACGCCCAGGAGGATAAAGGATGGGCCTTGGAAGCACAGCCTCCCCTGGAACAGCGAAACGAACAGTGTACACCCGCGGCGCAGACGACATGATGAGTTCGACAACGCCCGAAAGGAGAGGTCACAAGACCGTCTCGGGTGGTCGCTGGCGTGTGAAGTAGGGCGGCCCTGGGCGTTTCCCCAAAGACCTCCCCACCATCAGCAAAATCTTGAAGCTTGAAATTGGGAACAACTTCAAGGATGGAGCACAGGTCGTTTTCCAAATGTGGTTCTCTCGCCTCAGCGCCGCGCACATTCGCCTTCAAAGTTTGCAGCAGCTTCAAGGATGAAGAGGGGGCGTTTTCAACATGTGGCTCTCGCCTTAGCGTCGCGCACAGTTTCGCCGTAAAAGTTTGCAGCAATTTCAAGGATGGAGATGGGCCACTTTGGAAAAACATGTTCTCGCCCTAGAGCCGATTACATTCGCCGGAAGTACTGCGACCGCTTCAAGGATGGAGCACGGGTCGTGTTCAAAATGATGCTCTCGCCTTGACGCCACGCACGTTCGTCGTATGAGTTTGCAGCAGCTTCAAGGCAAGAGGGCGGGGCGTCTTCAAATGTGGCGCTCGCCTCAGCGCCGCGTACATGCGTCTTAAATGGTTGGCAATAGCTTCAAGGATGAAACACACAACTCGTTTTCAAAAGGTGGCTCTCGCCTGAGCGCCGCGGACATTCGTCTTAAGCTTTTACAACATCCACAAAGATAGCAAAGGGGTCGTTTTCAAAACGGGACTCTCGCCTTAGCACCGCGCGCATACACATTAACATCTTGCACCAGCTTCATAGATGAAGCAGAAGTCGTGTTGACCATGTGGCTCTCGCGGTAACGCCGCTCACGTTCGTCTTCAAGTGTGCAGCAGCTTCAAGGATGCAAGGGCGGTTCCTTTCCAAAGTTGGGCCCTCGCGAGTCGCGAGGGGGCGCAGGTCGTTTGCAAAATGGGGCCCTCACCTCAGCGCCTCGCACATTCGCTTGTGAATGCAACGTGTAGAAGGATGGGAAATCGGTCTTTCCACAATGGGACTCTCGCTGGAGACTACGAGACCCGGAACTGCACCACATGTAGCGCTGCACGGATCCAGGGCGGCTTGCTCTTTCTCTCTCTCTCTCTCTCTCTCTCTCTTTCTCGCTCTCAGAGTGGGGTTGTCGCTTGAGACATCCTAGAACCTAGAAGTCCATGACCACAGGTGTAAACTTGTGCAGCAGTTACTAGGATACGGAGGAGGTCCTTCTTCGAAAGGGGGATCTCGCTGGAGACCACGTTGAACTGCAATCATTTTTGCTGTCGCACTCCTATGCGCCAGAACAAATGCAAGGCAATTCTTTTTCAAAGCGGGGCCCTCCGCTTCTTGTGTGAACAGGAGAGCTTGCAGGGACGTGCGAGGAGGGGACTTGGGACGGCAGGGTATGTTGCTACATCGCCAATGCATATTCGGTTTACTCTGGTCCTCCTCTTCCTCCTTCGCCTGATCCTTCTCCTTCTCCTTCTCCTCCAGCTCATCTGGCCCCGTGCTGACCGTGGAAGGGTGCTCGGGCGCAGGCGGCCCGAGACACGGGACGCCCTCTCGACAAGTCACCCGTCCAAAATGGGCCATGCCTGGATTTAATGGCTGTTCGATGTTCGAGATTTTCTATGTCCGACAAGGGTTCGATGTCTGAGGTGTCTGCAGCCTGGGGGTGCTCTGCAGCAGCTTCGCCTCGCCGAGGGGCGCCCCGCGCTGCCTGGATCCACCAGGTGACGAGGATCAGTCGGAGGGGGGGCAGGCTCGGGGGCAAGGAAACATTGAGCTGGAATCGGGGGATGAATCGCCGACAGATCGGCGATAGACCCCCACTGGCGACTCCGCGCGTTACTGGGCGGGGCGGGCTAGCACATCCTCGTCTGCGATCAATGGGCGATTGGGGGTCGACGCGTCCCCCGGAGCCACCCCCCCAAACGCGCTGCCCCTGCTTGGGGGGGTTGCGCTACACCTAACCTAACCGATACTGGCCAGGCTCATCCTGGGCCCAAGACATGCTTGGCCAACGTCGGCGTAGGTGTGTGCGTGACGCCGCGTAGGTTTCGGAAGCCGTACTTGACTTCTTCGCCTCGTCGCCGCGCGCGAGGCCGCGACGGCCAACAGAAAGTGTGCGTGACGCCCTCCGAGATCTCCGCGCCGGACTGCGGGCACAGTGTCATTCCCCATCGGTACCGGAGGATTGCACGCAGGATTTGAGGACCCCGACCCTCGACTTCACAGATGCTCCAGGCGTTCCCCAAGCGTGTCGCACGAGATTCCTGTGCTCCAAACTTATTGGAAAAAGCTTGCCTTTTAAACTTTGGCCGGAGGTGGGCTGGGTCAGGTATCATGCAACTCCCCCGTCCAAGCCGACCTCAATACCCCCCAAGAGGATTTCTAGAGATCTCCCATCGAGGCCCCCAAGGCGCGGTAGAGGGATGGGCTGGAGGTCACTCGGCATGTCTAGATAGCTGGAGTGGAGGGGAAACGTTCGCCTACGCAGATACCACCCAGTGTAAAAATTGATCAACCTCCTCTGGAAATGAATGTAAAAACATACCTTCGAACCGCAGCTAATCCTCATGATATTCTTGGCCTACATACAATGCTGGACAGCTCAAACAAGTCCCTGCCAGGACAAACCACATATTTGCCCCACTGGCTGCATGGCCCAACATGGGATCTAGATTATTCGTCAATGGCCTCCCCATGCTCCAGAAATCTTCTCCCACGTGTCCAGATTCACCAAAAAAGAAAGGGTGCCTTCCGAACTTCGAATCTCCCGTCCCCTTGCCCCTCCTCTCTCCCTCCCTCCCCTGGCTCTTCTCTTCCTCCTCGCCCCACCGCGCCCTCCTGGGCACTCACAGCGCGAATGGTCTAGGGCAGCGAGAATGGGCCTTGTATACGACAGCGAGAACGAGCCTTGCGACGAAGATGAGTCGCGTATAGTATCGCTGTCCGCTCCCGTCTCCTGCTGCGCCCTCCTGACCCCGCCCTCCCCCACCCTCCTGAAAAATAGAGCGCACTTCTTGGAAACGGTCTGAAACGGTGTAGGAGAGACGAGACACGTGTGATGTTTCGGTCCATCGCCGCGCGGCCGACGTGCGTGAAATAAGGGCGCGCGCTTCTAGGGGCTACGGCGTCGGCCGAGTGGGGCTGGGGACGATTCCGAACGACAAGGTCGGCAGAGTTGTGAGCGCGCTGGGCTGTATTATAAGACCTACCCAGGTCACAAGGCCATTGACCATTGAGGATTGGTATGATCCGTTACGGGGCACGGCACTCGGCATCAACGCCATGTATGCTTGCATCATGCTGGCGGCGATTTCTCTGATGGCGGCTACAGGCTACCACGCTGCTCGGCAAGCCGACAGGCTATTGTGGTCATCGCGACACGCTCGCGGCATCTTCATGACTAGAAGCTCCTGAACTGCATCGGAGCCATCGGCCATGCAACGGTAGAGACAGTCAGAGTGGCAGGAGATCGCTCAGATGTCATCACGTGTTGCTGAGATGTGCGATCGAAAACCTCAACTACCCAAGGAGGGTGCCATATATTCCCAACCCAATACCAAGTACATAAAAGAAGCGCGGAGACTTCCATAACATTTCCAAATGATAACAATAGTAATAATGATGTTGATGATGCTGATTATGATTCTGATTATGATTATGATGATGATGATGATGATGATGATGATGATGATGATGATGATGATGATGATGATGATGATGATGTGCGAGCCAGAAAAATTTTTGAGCAATGGATGAAACTCATCACGCCAGATAGCGACCACTGCGACAGCTTCAAGGCAGAGTCACGCAACTACAGTGCCAAGATAACACCCATTTCGGCAATGCGTGTGACACGTTGATAGAGACGTCACTTATCTTGCTGACCGTGAGCCGCAATCACATGAAAGAATTGAACATGTCCCTGGTGCCCAGGAACATGCACTGATCAAGAGCAACACTCCAAAGCAGCTAAAAACCTGACGTAAGGTACAAGCGTTCCCCAGCGCCTCTTTGCTACTTGTGACCTGCGGGCCTTTCGCAAGGCATATCGCAAACAAGGGGCTGCGCGGATCCAGGCGGGGCGAGTACGGAGAGGGCGCCGCTGGCGCGAAAGGGGGCTCCAAAGGAGGCGGAGCGGTGGAACGGGAGACTGCACAAGGCAGCATGGGTGTCGCAGGTCCAACTGAGAGCGTAGGAAGGGCGACTCCAAAAAAAAAGAAAGGCTGACTCGATGGCCGACTCCGGAAAATCCGAACCAAACAACACCTCATATCTTGGAGCGTTTCTTGTACTTCCGCGGGCTTCCACCAGCAGATCTGCCGCCGTGTTACTTTGGCCGTTTTACTTCCGCCGCCTTCCGCCGAGGACAGGATGCAAACTTCTTCGATCTCGAAGGCGAGGCCCTCTCTGGAACGCTGCCTGTAGGTGCGAGCTGCTTAGATGGCTGGTGCGTGGTGAACCGAAACTGTCGGCGATAGTGGCGCGAGATCCTGGACTCCTGGCGGCAGGTGCCTAGTCACAGACCGCCAAAGGACAGAGACAGCGTGGAGCTGTGAGAGAAGCGCCACAGCAGGAGGGATAGCAACACCATGAACATCAAGGCCCAGCCAACCCAACATTGTCCACCTAAGATCGACGGCGTCAAACGCGTAATTATACGGTCAGCACGGGCGCTGGTGGCTCTTGAGCCAAACCATAATGAAGATGGCGGCTGGATCCGCATATTCATCCGCATGAGTGGATCGATAAAGGGATAGACGACGACAGAGAGGAGTACGATATGGTCATGGTTAGCTGTTCTGACATCCAAGCGGTTCCAAAGAAGATCTCGACAGGGCATGAATCTACGAGCAAGCCAGGATCAGCTCAGCGCGCAACTACAGGCAATACACTTGGGATAATGATGTAGTCATGGGCACGATGCTCTACAATGTCGACTAGATTACTGCTGACACGGGCGTGATTCCTGCAATGGTATAAATTGGGACATGTCGTCATTGCAGAAGTTATCAGCAACGCAAGATGCATGATCGCTTCACTTCGACTCTCATTGGGGCCAACATGTGAAAGGGCCGAGCGCGATGAGAGATACGAAGCAGCGGTGCTGCTGGCACTTGGAGGACCAATCTGAAGCACTACGTGTTGTAGCCCATGGACGGGCCATGACGCTTCGAGAACTCGGGGCAACGACACCACCCTTGGCAACGTCGAAGAGGGTATCCGCGCTGCGGGCATAGAGACCCGCGATGCGGACATCAGGGACGGCACTCGGGAGGAGGACGTTCAGGATGAGTCGGCTGGCTCGCGATGTGGACCTCGCGCAGCCGGAGACAGGGAGCAGGCGTGCCCCCGCAGCGAGATGGAGGTAGGGATGCCTGCCCTGGTCGGCTTCAAGAAGCGAACCACGTTGAATGCCCATCGCGGACACGGCCACACACACACACCGAACCCTTGCTGGGGCGGAGGCAAAAAAAACTCTTAGAGAGCACGTGTCACGGAAGACGCGGAACACCCTGTCCGGGAGTCCGACTACTGGCAGCTGTGGCATTCACTCACTGTCGTCGCCGGGGGGGGCCATACTGGGACCCATGCTGGAGGGTATAGGTAGTCAAGCATGCGCTCTCCCCGCCCCCAATTCACCCTCTGCCTCCTTTCCCCCCTATCCCTCCTTCTCCTCTTAATCCCCTCTCGTCACCTTCCCCACCTCTTCCCAGCCGCTTCTCCTCGTCTCCTCCTCCTGCTGCTGCTCCTCCTCCTCCTCTGCCCACTCCTGCTGCTGCTCTTCTCCAACAACAAAAAAATCTACGAAAACCTCGTAAAGCGATCATCCTCATCAGCAGCAGTAGCATCAGCATCAGCATCATCACCAGCATTACCCTCCTCCTCCTCCTCCTCCTCCTCCTCCTCCTCATCCCTGGAATCATCGGAGTCATCATCGTCACCATTACTACCACAGTCTGCATCAGCACCAGCATCAGCGACAGTATCATCATCATCATCATCATCATCAGCATCATCATCATCATCATCAGCAGCAGCAGCATCATCATCAGCATCATCATCAGCATCAGCATCATCAGCATCATCATAATCAGTATGCCCATCATCATCACCATCACCATCATCATCATCATCATCATCATCATCACGAGTCTCATCATCATCAGCATCATCAGCAGCAGTAGCCGCATCAGCAGCATCATCATCAGCAACATCGGCATCAGCATCAGCAGCAGCATCATCGTCATCACCATTATGCAACATCCGTATCAGCATCATCATCGAAATCATCAGCATCAACATCATCATCACCATAGTTAGTCATCATTAGCGACATCATCAGAGCATCATCATCAGCAGGAGCAGCATCAGCATCATCACCATCATCAGCATCATCATCAGCAGCATCAGCATCATCATCACCAGCAGCAGCAGCCGCATCATCATAATCAGTATCAGCATCAGCGTCATCATCGTCATCATCGTCATCATCAGCATCAACATCAGCATCATAACCAGCATCGTCATATTCAGCATCAGCATCAGCATCAGCATTATCCTCCTCCTCATCATCATCATCATCATCATCATCATCATCATCACAAGCACCATCATCATCAGCAGCAGCATCACCATCATCATTATCATCATCATCATCATCATCATCATCATCAGCAGCAGCAGCAGCATCAACATCACCACCACCACCACCACCACCACCACCACCACCACCACCACCATCGCCACCATCATTATCTCATCACTTCACCATCCCCTCATCACCATCCCCTCATCACCTTCCCTCTCCTCATCGCTGCCCTTTCCCCTCGAGCTCCTGCGCCAAGGTCAGGTGCTGATCCCCCGCCGGGGGTGCTGGCAGACCTCTGGCGGGGCCGGCGGTCTGGGCGAAGGCTCGCCGGGAGGGGAGATCGGGAGGGCCCAGCAGAGGAGCGCAGAATGGAGGACGGGGAAGGGCCAAAGGGTGCGGGGGGAGGACGGGGAAGGGCGCAGATAGAGGATGGAGGGGGCGGTTGCCTGGATGTGCATTGTAGCATGCGTGCCCCTATGGCGCACAAGGGGCTGCCAGGTCGGACAGCCCTCTCCTGGGAAGCAGCAGGGGGGGGTGAGGCACAGCAGGTAGAAAGGTAGAAGCGTGGAGGGAGGATGCAGGGTGGAGGATGGGGAAGAGAGTGGGAGGAAGGAGGTGGTGGGGGTAGCAGTAAGCGAGGAGAGAAGGGGGGGAGGAGGTGAAGGGGGGGAGGTGTCGGGGGGGGGGGGGATCGGGGAATCATTCGACCAGCAACAGAGCAGTTACAGTGTGGTCTCCGCTCCCGATCTTTCCTCGCCGTCCTCATCATCCTTGCCTCTTGCTCCTCCTCCTCCTCCTCCTCTTCCTCCTCCTCCTCCTGGCCCTCCCCCGCTTTCTCCTCCTCGACATCCCCATACATCCTCGTACTCTACCCCGTCGTAAGACTAGGGAAATGCCGCTGCCTCGCATAGGAGGCTCAATCCTCAATCCTTAGCGGAAGTGGCAAGCAGCAGGCTACCATTGGAATTCGCCAGTGCTGCAGGAGGACGCGGGTGATTTTCCGTGGGTCCTGCTGCCCGCCTGATCCAAGGCCCCTGCAAGGTGTTCGACCTTGAACGCCCGCGCCGGCGTCGCCGCCGCGCTGAGGCGGCGCGAGCCCGTCGACGGCCATTCTGGGCCAAAACGAAGTACCACGTGCTTCCGCGACGCCGTGCCGCCCGGCCTCTCGGACTGCGCCCGGCCCTGGCCACGAAGCCCCGACCCAAGCCCCGAAAGCCTCCAAAACAGCCAACAAGCAGGTGCCTTCAGGCGTTGCTGCGGCGCCGAAGCGCACAGACTGTCGCGACCTCAACTCTCCTGGCTTCCGACAGCCGCAGACGGCACCACAGGTCTACAAGGTGGCTCCAAGACGGCCCAACAAGCCACCCTCCCTCCCCCCACCCCAGCCGTGCGCTGCCACGGAAGAGAAGGGGCCTGGACCCCGGGGCTTCCCCCGACACCAGTTGCTCAGCATACACCGACGACTGTGGAGAGCCTCAGGACCCCCCTTCCAGCAGGACCCCTTCTCGCACTGGTTGATGGGGAACGCTACATAGAGGGCGACGGGCTCAGAGAGGGGACATCGACCTGGAATCGGCGATGCGTCGCCGATAGAACGGCGTTCCCCCGATGGCGAATCCACAACCCTGCCCCTAATCGGGCGATCCCCCGATGCCGATGGGTGGGGTGGGCTACCAGACCCGTGACCGGCGATACATAAGCGATAAGAGGTGGATGCGTTCCCCCTTTGAGCCTATATCCCCCCAGTGATCCTTGAAGGGGCCCTGGGACACACAAATAAATAGACACACATAACAGGACTCCCAACATTTTAATTTTCTGTTGGTTTTGTCTTCCCCCCCCACTTCCCACATTTTCTCATATTTTCTGGGGGATCGACGATTAATTGTGTCTGTGTGTTTCTCCCTCCTGAATCCTGCCGTCCAATTTGGGGTCAGAACTCGGGTCGCTGACGGCCGTTCGGGATGATCCAGAACCCCCCCCCGCAGAACGCCCTCGCAGGGGCGCAGCTGCTGGAACGCACCCCAGGGCTGCCTCCTCCTCTTTTCCTCCTCCAGACCCCCAGAACGCCCTCGGGAGGGGCGCAGCTGCTGGAACGCACCCCGAGGCTGGAAGATCGTCGAAAACAAGCTAAAGCGCCAGAAAATCCTAGACCTCGAGCTTGTGCCTGGGTATCCTGGGGGCATGTGGGGCCGTCTTGGAGCGTCGGAGGCCCGAAAGGGCGACGAGAACGCCAAAGTCATGGAAGACAGCAGAAAAACACATGATTTTGGCCTCCTGGAGATTCCCCGACGTTGCCCCTGAAGGGCTCTCTCCTTAGCCTGCGGCGCCCTCCCGGCCCCGGGGCCGCCCCGAGAGCCCACTGCAAGGGCAGGAGGCGGCCTGCGTGCTGAGCGGGTAGACCGGGCAGCGCGACGACCCTCGGCGGTGGACCACTGGGGGACCTCGGCGGGGCGTCTCTCCCCGCTGCGGTCCCGGCTCCTCCACCTCCCCGCTCCTCGTTCTTGTCCTCGTCCTCCTCCTCCTCTTCTTCCGTTCCTTTCCCTTACAATAAACAACTCTTCCCTGTCGCACCCCGATGCCGGTCGGAAGGGCGGGCCCGACGTTTCGCCTGCGATTTCGTCACCACTTATGACCCTGAAGCTTAAATTTGCCAGCCATTTCACAGATGGAGGGTGGGCCGTTTTCAGAGTGTGGCTCTCGCCTTAGCGCCGCGCGCACTCGTTGTCCAACAAATTGCGACAGTTCCACGGGTGGAGGGCAAGTGATTTTCAAGATGTGGCTCTCGCCTTGGCGCCGCGCACGCTCGTTTCAAAAACACCTGCAGGAGCTTCGCGGACTCAGGGCAGGTCTGAAACGAACGCTGCGGACACGGACCTGCCCCTCTCGGGCCACGCGGGCACGGCACCGGGAGGCCTGTGGTCCGCGGGCCGGCGCACGGGCCATGCTGACGCAGTGGCAGAGGTGCAGGGCCCGCGACCAGCTGGATGAGATCAGCTCGGGCGGCAGCCACCCCGACTCGTGGACAGCGACGCCGCCCAGAGTAGCCACGCCAGCCAGGCCGGCTCGGACAGGGAGAAGATCTCGCAGAGGCCCTCCAGCACCTGCATGGCGCAGAAGGCGGTGAAGATGTCCCCGATGCCGAACCAGGCGCCACCACTGCCCTGCGTCTACCTGCGGGCGACGGTGCCGCCGCTGGGGAGCTCGGTGCATGGCGGCGGCCTGAACCGGGCGTTGCTACCGCGCGCGTCGAAGACCAATCGCTGCTGGCCTGACTTCTTGGCGACGACGAGCGGGCGAGAGTCGAAGCGTCCCACGCTCCCCCAGCTCGGCGATCAACTGGCCATGGATGGCGGGACCACTTACGGAGATTAGGGTCGACGCAGGGTTGACGGAGACCGAGATCGCGACGTAGAGTCACTGCTTCCTCTGGCGGGCGTTAAACGCGGGCCTTCCAATCTTGCCTCCCGAAGCGGTCAGCCTCGAGCAGAGTGGACTCCAGCGCCACCGGCGCGGAACCCCCGCCGGGCCAAGACACGAGGTCCTTGCTGTAGGTAACCATGCCGCTGAGCACTGCAATGTAGAGCGGGCAACTGGAGCAGAGGTCAGTGAGGCACTGCTTGGGGACGGTGTCGACAGGCGGTCCGCCGAACCTGACAGACTGGTCGAAAACGAAGCAGAGCGATTGGTGATGCAAGATCGAGGGCCGCTTCCGCACAGAAGGCACCCCGCCGCCACCCAGCTGGCTGAGCGCGTCGATGCCGCCGTTCGCCCAGCAGGCCTGGGCCCCCCGTGAGGAGCCCTCGTAGAGCTCGTAGGGGCCCCCGAGGACAAAGATGAGGAAGAGGTAAAACATCGTGCTGACGACTGGCGGCCATGGCGTGGAGACCGCGACAGCAGGAGCGCGCGGCCGTGTACGAGCCCTCTGGGACGGCCGAGTCTCTGGCGGCATCTGATTACACTGAGGGAGAGGGGGGCTAGGCCTTGCCGCGCCCGCCGCCGCCTCCGCGGCGCCCGCCGACGCCAAAGACGCCTCCAGCAAGGGGGTGGGGCAGCTGGGCCTCCTTCAGCGCCTCGCGGAAGTCCGTCGCGATGCCCGACTCGGCCGACGTCTGCTTGGCGAGCCACTCCGACGGCGCGGGAGCGACCATGATCCCGCGCGTACACCGCACCCCGGTGAAAAAAGTGCACGTCGCCGCCCGAGCCGAGAGCGCAATCAGAGCACGACCATGTAGTGCCCACTGGCGCGCGACCAGCTCCATCGACGCTGGGTTGGAGCCGTCGACCTGGTCATACGACTGGGCCACCTGCGTGAATTCCGAGAACTCGCAATGCATCAGGACGAACGAGCTGTCGGGCGCAAGGCTGGCGCCCAAAGCGGCCCTCCAGGCGAGGTGGTGCCCGAGTGGCGGTCCGCCGTTCTCGGCCTGGCAGGTGGCGACGCAACCGTATGTGAACGGGCCCGGGTGGGGCCAGTCAGGGAAGGCAGTCGGCTGCATGAGCTGGGATGCTGTCGCGAAACTCACGGTGGCGCTGGCCCAGGTCGCCATAGGCGGTCGCGATCGTGCGCAGGTCACCACCGCCAGCAGCAGCAGCAGCAGCAGCAGCAGCAGGGGCTGCCCCGAAGGTGGCGAAAGCGGGGGCGGGCGCAGGAGCGCCGGGGGCGATGGCGGCGGCGTGGCGACTTCCCACGTCGTAGCCGTCCTCGTAGCCCTTGTCGTCGCCCTTGTCGCAGCCGAAACGCTCGCCCTCCTGGTAGCCCCTGTCGTAGCCATCGGCACCGAGGGCGCAGGCCTGCGGAATCTGACCCAGCGTCGGCGCGACCGCGAAGTCGTAGCGCCGCACACCTGCTGGGGGGGCGCGGACGCCCGCGGCAGCGCCAGCCGCGTAATTCTTCCACCCGTCCAGGGAAGTGCTCCGTTTTCGTCGCCGACACGCCGACCACCATGCGCTGGTGCAGTGGCCGCGGCAGCGACTCCGCCAGCGGCACCTGGATCCTGGGGGCCTCGTCGGGCGTCGGGACGAGGCCCGCCTGTAAGGGCGGACGGAGCGCCGCCGCCAGGCGTGCCGCGGACGCGAAAGGTAGCAGCCACCGCCGCGCGATGGAGAATGTGAAGAGGTTGCTGCGAAGCGGGAGGCCGAGTGCACGGCGCACGCACCGAGCGAGGACCTCCCCCTCCTGAGAAAGATGCACCGGAGCAGACGCGGCAGCGGAGCAGGCGCGAAGGCCTTCGGCGACTCGGAGACGGGGTGCGCAAGCGCTGCCATTCTTAGAACGCCCGGTGAGGGACGCCGGGGCCCGCGAAGTGGGCGGCCCGGGGTGGCCCCCCCGTAGCCTGAACCCCGACACCGGAGGCCCATCGTGGCCGCCCATCGTTGGCCTCTCATCGCGGCCCTCCATCGCGCACTGCGTGGGGCCGTTCAGGGTCCTCTCCAGAAAGGGTGACCTTTTGATGCGCCCACTCTGTCGCGCTCACTCTGATTCGAACGACGGGGGGGGGGGACATTCTTTTTCAAAGCGGAGCTCCTGCCTAAATCTGCGGGCCCATAGGGCCCTGTCCAAGAACGCAAATGACAGGCGGGGAGATTGGGACGGGAGGGTGTATTGCAGCATATCGTTGAAACACCGTGGGCTTACTCTGTTCCTCCTCCTCTTCCTCCTCCTCCTCCTCTTCCTCGCCCGACCTCTGGCGCTCTGGGGACCGCGCCCGCGAGGGAAAGGAGACGGACCTCCGCGGTGGCCCTGCCTCTCTGAGGGGCAGGGGACCCAACTGGCAGCAGCCTCGGCACACGGGAGCACAGCCTCTGGCCATTTCTGCACTCCCGATATGTTGTTGATTGTTGTTCGTTGTCCTCTTGGCTGCGGTGGTGTGGTGGTGGCCCTTTTGAGGAAAACAATTCTCGTGGTGGGAGGGAGGGGTTGGGAGAATGCAGGGTATGAACAATCGCATCCGGATGCAATGAACGATACCTTCGACAACCTACGAGTAATTATATCCACATTTCTCCCAACCCAATCCTCCTATTCCGATAACTGTCTTCCCGACCCTTGGGTGTGGCTCGGAGGAGCCGCCGTTCGAGGCGGCTTGGCCTTGCAGCGCTCAGGACCTCCCCGCACCTCTGCCCCACAGTGGGGTCGTGCCGTCAGAATCTCTGGCCGAGACCAGCGCGCCCCGCCCTCCCCCCCCCCCCCCCCCGAAGCGCGGACCCACACCTGAGCATCGCTGAACCGAGACGGGGTGCTGAGATGGTGGGGGTCCGGATGGGGATGGGGCTGGGGATCGGGGCCCAGACCTCCTCGCGTTGTCAAAAAATCACGACGGGAGGTGGTTCTATATTCTCGGCCTTCGGGGCCCTTCCTGGGCCTCGGGACCGTCAGAAAACGACCCAGAACGAAAAACTGGCCCCGGGGAAGGAGTCCAGAATCACGACGTCGGCGGCCCTCCATCGCGCACTGCGTGGGGCCGTTCAGGGTCCTCTCCAGAAAGGGTGACCTTTTGATGCGCCCACTCTGTCGCGCTCACTCTGATTCGAACGACGGGGGGGGGGGACATTCTTTTTCAAAGCGGAGCTCCTGCCTAAATCTGCGGGCCCATAGGGCCCTGTCCAAGAACGCAAATGACAGGCGGGGAGATTGGGACGGGAGGGTGTATTGCAGCATATCGTTGAAACACCGTGGGCTTACTCTGTTCCTCCTCCTCTTCCTCCTCCTCCTCCTCTTCCTCGCCCGACCTCTGGCGCTCTGGGGACCGCGCCCGCGAGGGAAAGGAGACGGACCTCCGCGGTGGCCCTGCCTCTCTGAGGGGCAGGGGACCCAACTGGCAGCAGCCTCGGCACACGGGAGCACAGCCTCTGGCCATTTCTGCACTCCCGATATGTTGTTGATTGTTGTTCGTTGTCCTCTTGGCTGCGGTGGTGTGGTGGTGGCCCTTTTGAGGAAAACAATTCTCGTGGTGGGAGGGAGGGGTTGGGAGAATGCAGGGTATGAACAATCGCATCCGGATGCAATGAACGATACCTTCGACAACCTACGAGTAATTATATCCACATTTCTCCCAACCCAATCCTCCTATTCCGATAACTGTCTTCCCGACCCTTGGGTGTGGCTCGGAGGAGCCGCCGTTCGAGGCGGCTTGGCCTTGCAGCGCTCAGGACCTCCCCGCACCTCTGCCCCACAGTGGGGTCGTGCCGTCAGAATCTCTGGCCGAGACCAGCGCGCCCCGCCCTCCCCCCCCCCCCCCCCCGAAGCGCGGACCCACACCTGAGCATCGCTGAACCGAGACGGGGTGCTGAGATGGTGGGGGTCCGGATGGGGATGGGGCTGGGGATCGGGGCCCAGACCTCCTCGCGTTGTCAAAAAATCACGACGGGAGGTGGTTCTATATTCTCGGCCTTCGGGGCCCTTCCTGGGCCTCGGGACCGTCAGAAAACGACCCAGAACGAAAAACTGGCCCCGGGGAAGGAGTCCAGAATCACGACGTCGGGGGCCCATAAGGGGTCGGCGAAGCGACACCGAACGCATCCCGAAGACCACTGGGCTCCTCAGGGCACCTCCGCCGGGGGCCCGGCGAGGCCCCCCAACCAGCAAGAAGCCCACGGGCGCAGCCTCGCCAGGGGGCCGTCGTCGTGACTCTCTCGCTGCGTGGGCCCCAGGCGCTCTCTCGACCGCCTTCCCGGGGCCAGTTCTTCGCCGCGCCCTGACCGCTGGATGCCAGAGCGTCCTGGTCGCGACCGGCGAGATCTGTCGTCAGGTTCCGGCATCGGTCTCGACCGAATTGCTCCGAAATCGGCTGCGACCCATCGGTCGCGACCGATCGGTCGCGACCGAGAGGAATGACGATCGGTCGCTGCCGCTCGCGACAGAAAAAATACGGCATCCAATGATCTGGGCGGGTCGTGTTCGTCACCGGCCCTGGAGCCGGAAGATGGGCCCGCCCAGGACGTCCAGGCCGCGAGGGGCTGCACCTGTTGCCCGGGAAGCCCCAGGAGGAAGTACGAGGCTCCAGAGGCCCCAGGGAGGCACCAGGAGGACTCCAGGAGAGTCAAGGAGGCCGAAGGCCGGGAAAACGCCAACATGGATTACGGATCCGTGGATGTGGCGCGTATGCGCCAGATCCAGGGACCAGGGAAAGCCCCCCAGAAACGTGTGGCCCGCGTCGCCTCCTGTGACCACGGAGCACGTCGCCATCATATGACATCGTCTCGTCCACGCACCGGAATCCATGTTTGCGCTGGAAGCAGGCCCCAGAGGATTCGCTGTGGGCTGCACCTCAGATTAAAGGGCAACGTTAAAGGGGGGCCAGCTCAGGGGGGGAATCATCGACCTGACATCGGCGATACATCGCCGACAGATCGGCGATATCTGGGCCCCCAATAGCGACACAGCACGTTCCTGGGAGGGAGGGGCTATCGCGCCCCTATCGGCGATCCACGGGCGAGTGGGGGGTGATGCCTCATCCCCCCCAAACGTTGCCCCTGAGAGGACTCTCTGCCGGCTGCAGGCCACACCCACGACCCTCAGATGAGCCAGGACAAGACGAGTCTCACGCGAGATGACGCAGCGACCGATCGCCGCGGGCCGCCAGCGCGGCACGCCACATTGGAAACGAGGGCGCTTACGCGCCACCCTACGCGGGCAACTTACGCGCGAATGCCGCTGAAGACGAACCCGTTTTCTTCCGCCTCTCAGATGAGGATCTAGGATACTTCCTTCGGGTTTCGAGGGGCACATCCCCAGCTGTGGTGCTGAGATGGCGGGGGTCTGGATAGGGATGGGGATGGGCATGGGGGGTCGGTTGAACGATACTCATCGAGGACTCGCTGTCGGCTGCAGGCCGCCCCCAGTGCCCCTCAGATGGGCCCGGGGACACCGCGGATCGACCTCGGGAAGAGCGCCGTCGACGTGGGCAGAGGCTGCCCGCCGAGCGACCACGCGGGCACACCCGCCGCAAGCGGAGGCGTCGCCGACGCGGCAAGCACCACCGGCACGGCCTCTCTCATCCCTCCCCTGCCTCACTCCTCTTCCCCTCCTCCTCCTCCTCCTCCTCCTGCTCATTCCTCATTCCTCAGTCCTCCTCACTCGTGTTTAATCCTCTCTCTCGTCCCTCACTGCCCCTTCCTCCTCATCCTCCTCCTCCTCTTCCTTCCTGTGTCCTTTCCCCCTAAGCCATCCTCCTCGTTTTCTTCTTAACCTTCCTCTTTCCACGTTCATCGTTCCTGAGTATTCCTCGTTCCTCGTCCCTCTTGCTCTTGCTCTTCCTCTTGCTCGCCTTCCTGCTCGCTCGCTCGCGTGCTCGCTCGTGTGCGAACTCCCCCCCATCCTCCTTGATGCCCCTCCTCCCCGTTGCCCCCCTCCTCCTCCTCCTCCTCCTCCTCCTCCTCCTCCTCCTCCTCCTCATCATCATCATCATTCCTCTCCCACACCCCCTCCTCCAGCATCCGCGTCCCTCCCCTGCTTCTCCCCCCTCTTTTCTTCATGATCCATTCTATCGACTTCCTCCTACCGCCCCCTTCCCTCCTCCCATCGCCCTCCTCCCTTCCTCCCCCCTATCCCGCTCATCCTCTGCCCCCTCGCCTTGCTTACCCACGGGCGATAGGTCGCTGCGAAGGCTCACTTGGGAATCACAAGAACGAAGGGGCTCTTCTGGCCACGGAAAGCCTGGGCCACGAACGGGCTCCCCGAACTAGGTCTAAGGAAAGGTCCGAAAACAGGTCTTCAGTTTAGCGGCTTGTCTTAACAGTATCGTCGGAGATCTGGGGAGGAGGAGGAGGAGGAGGAGGAGGAGGAGGAGGAAGAGGACCAATGTAAACCCGAGACTCATCAATGCTGTCGGAATAAATCCTCCCTGCAAGCTCCCTCGTCACAGGCCCCTACAAGGGCTCATTTCCAATTAGGGACTTGCCTCGATGGGAGACAACCGCTTGACGGCCCTGAAGCGTGCCAAAACACAATTCTCGGAACTCCACCGCCACGGATCAACCTGACAATTGCGTATTGACGATCCTGTATCGCACCAACAAAAACAGTCCTGGAACTTCAACGCCACAAATCCAAGTAAATCTCGCACCCTCACGACCCTGAGTCCTTCCAAAACACCATTTCTGGTACGGTGACCATGGAAACCCGTGAAACGATTTCAAATATTTGAAACGAATGTGCGCGGCGCCAAAGCGAGAACCACAAAACATGCGCGACTCTACGGCGAGAACCACATTAAGAAAACGACCCGCCCTCAATCCGTGAAGCTCTCGCCAATGTGAGAGACGAGTATGCGCGACGCTAGAAGCGAGAGCCACATTTTGAAAACGACCCGCCGTCAATTTGCGAAGCTCTCGTTCTTCTACGACTGTGCGCGGCGCTAAGGCGAGAACCACATTTTGAAAGCGATACGACCTCAGTCCGTGAAGCTCTTGTGAATGTTTGAAACGAATGCGCGCGGCACTAAGGCGAGAGCCACATTTTGAAAAGCGGTCCGCCCTCCATCTGTGAAGCTTTTGCCAAATTGTAAGCTTCAAGGTTATAGATGGTGGGAAGTCTCAAGACAAAAAGCCCGGCCCACTCTTTCGACTGGCCTCGGGATGCGACAGGGCGGAATTATTCATGAGAAAAACGAATGGAAGAGGGCTTTCTTTTAAGACGAGGCCGGGACAGGGACAACATCGGACAGGAATAATCGGATACCTCTGAGATACGCCGCCGCGGCTGCATCGGAGCGCTCCAGGACGCTAGCTATGAAAGCGTTTCAGAGCGCTCCAGCACGACTCATCCCTGTCCTGGCTCCGCCCGACCTTCCCCCCCCCCGCCCTCTCGCATGCACGCAAAAGTGACCCTGGGCAGGAGTGACCCTTGGTGCGCGGCCCGCGGGGGCCGCAGGGTCAGATCCAAGCGCGCACGGAGGGGGGCCCGGGGGGGCTCACTCTGGCGAAGGGTCAGTCTCCCGACCCTCGAGGAATTCCAGGCCCCCCTTCGCCCGATCTTGTCCTCCCCCAATACTTTCCTGTCCTAGCACCGCCAGATGTTTCCCTCCCCCCGAACATCGATGAAGGGGCCCTGGGACACACACATAAATACGCACAAATAAAAGGATTCCCAATATTTTCCAATATTTTCTGGGTTTCTGTCTTCCCCCCCACTGCCCAAATTTTTCCATATGTTCCTGGGAATCGACGACTAATTGTGTCTGTGTGTTTTTCCACCTCCTGAATCGAAGAATTCCATCCATCCCCCCCCGCCGGCGCGGCGAGCCGCGGCGGCCCTGGCGGGACCCTTGCAGCAGCTCCGCCGGGCGCAGCGGGCACCTCCGGGGGCTCGGGCGGGGCAGCCCTCCCCAGAGAGAGGGAGGAGCGACCCGGATATCCTAAGATCCTAGGATTGGAGGCGACGATAGAGGCGAATAGCCCAGGGGGGAGCAATACATGTATCCAGGGGCGCCGATGATCTATGTCTTCGACAAGGCTCCCGGGCGAATGCGTGTAATGCCCGCCCCTGGGTTATTCGCCCATACCGTCGCCGCCGATAGGAGGCCCTCGCGATCGTGACTCCGACGTGAATCCGACGGGAGCCTGGCGTAAATCCGATGTGGATCCGGCGTATTGTGGGTCTCAGGTGGCCCCGCGAAGCTTCCAGGATTGCCCTCATAATCGTGGCTAGCTTTCGTTGCGCGATGGCCATTCGGCGCACGGCCGGCGCATGGCGCCATGCGGCGCATGGCCACTCGCGCCATGGGCGGGTCCAGCACGCCTGGGAAACCCGTTGATATTGTGCGAGAGCTCTGGGGAGCGAGGCCGACGCCGCAGGTCGATCTCTGGCCTGAAACGGGCCCCCGTCGAGGCTGGTCGGCCGAGATGAGAGCCCAGCGAACCATGAGATCCAAGCGCTGCATTTTTCACGACGGGTGATTTTGCTTTGCTCCGTGACCCGGGGCCATAACATATCGGTCTGGCGCGAAGAATGCCACGTCAGGATTCGAACTCTGGTCGCGTTATCCCCGTGATGTTTGAAGCTTTCCCAAAATCGAATATCGGGGAAAAGTGGCCCAGAAGGGTGCCCAGAATGGTGATAGCTCGCGCGCGTGCCTTTCGCATCACGAGCCGACTGGGAAGAGATCGCGATGCAGATCCGCAGCCCCAATCGAGGCGGGCAAGGGCAGAGGCCGCGCCCGAGGATCCAACCTTCCGCCAGAAGTAAGAAAGCACCGGCCGCAAGGGGGGGTGGCGCAGAGAGGAGGAACGAGTGTCCCTGGGGGGCAGAATCCTCTTCCATCACGCTGCTCGCTCGGCCGCGCGCCCCCCGGGACACTCAGGGGCGCGGTGGCGCGGTCGGCGTCGGAGGCGGCGGCGCAGGCGGCGTCGGAGTTGGCGACGGCGTCCACGAACGTGGGGCGGTCGCCGCACGCATCCAGCGACTCGCGGTCGAAGGGCGCGAAGTCGGGGACGGCGCCCTCGAGGCCCGCGAAGGCGACGAAGGAAGGATCATCTTCATCATCAATGTGAACACCAGCTGGTGCATCTTCAACTCCCAAACCCAAGGCCACAAAATTGGGGTCGCCGTCGAGGAGGTCGACGGAGTCGTTCAGCATCTCCGCATGGCTAGTGTCCAGCGGCGGCACAGAAGCCGCGACCCCCTCGTCCGAATCGCAGAACGTGGAGTCCGCCTCAGCGCACAGCCCCAGGAACGCAGAGTCTGCTTCGAGTGCTTCTTGGACTGCAGGGTCAGTCAGAAAATCGGCGTCTGCTTCGGCAGGCGGAACCTCTTCATCCTCGAGCAGGTCGCCAGGAGTGTCTAAGAGTCAGCCCACCAGTCAGTGCTTGTCCGCGGATACCGATGGGCACGGGACGTCCAAGGCTCGAAGAGCACGCACATGTTGTACATCAGTCAGCCCATCTGGGTGCTCAGCTTGCCGAGGAGTTGCCAGTGGCGTCGACGATGGTGGAGACGAAATCGAAGGAGGCGAAGTTGCACAGCATCGAGCGAGAGCTTCAAGCGCGAGTTGGGTCGAGAGCAGGAACCCGCTCGAGTTGAACCCAACACTCCTACGCACAGTGCCAGCAGCCGAAGAAGAAGAATAATAATACGCCGTGTGTCCAGCTGGCACATGAGCAATCAGGGCATGGCAGCGAACGGCGGGTGCTGGGCCGAGCACCCCGCGTGCCAAAAGGCCTCCTGATCCATAGCACTACGGCCGGCAACATTGAATCAATTGGAGAGGGAGGAGAAGGAGGAGAAGGAGGAGAAGGAGGAGGAGGAGGAGGAGGAGGAGAGGGGGGAGGAAAATCAACCAACGGTGCATTTCCGCACTGCCGCCTGCCATCTGTCGGCTGGCAGCGAATGCAGGTTTTCAAACGATATACGTGCAGATTCGCAAACCATCTTTGAAAGCCGGTTCACCTCTGCGACCCAGGTCTGTCGGGGCCTGCCTCTCCTTCGTTTGCCGATCGGGACCGCGACCTCGTTCGTGCCGTGGCGGAAGACAGATTGCCTCACTGGGTGGTCGTTCGGCTTCTGCGCGATGCCGCGGAAGAGGCATAGCTGCCGGGCCAGGAGAATGCTCTTCAGATTGCGCCCCCCTGCCCGTTGTAGACCCTCCGCGTTCGAGATGCGGCTGCAAAACGAGCGTTGAATGCGGAGTACTTTCCGCAAGCAGCGCGCCTGGAATGCATCCAGCTTTGAGAGTTCCGCGTTCTTTAGCCACGCTGTGCGCAAGCTGCGCGGAAGCTTGCTGACCACGCAGGCGTCGAAGATCTGGATCTTCCGCCGGGTCGTGATCGCCGCGTGTGACCATACCCGTGATAAACTATCAAACTCAGCTCTGGCTGCCCCGAGCATCCGGCTGAGTTCCGACCCCACCGGTCCGTCCGCCGAAAGGGCGCAGCCGAGGTAGACGACGCTGTCCTTCTGCTTTACCAGACCCCCGTCAGGCATCGGGATCTCGGCGGCGCATCGGGCCGGGAGTACTTCGAGCTTCTTCCAATGTTACTTGAGGCCGTAGTTCGCACCCGCGCGCTCCACGGCGGCCATGCATGCCGCAGCCTGCTCAGCGTCGGCGGCCGCGATCAACGTGTCGTCGGCGTAAACGAGGTCGCGCACGTGCTCTGCCAGCTCCCCGAGTTCGCTCTTCGCGTCGCGCAAGAGGACCGTCATCACGATGGCGAAAAGAAAAGGCGAGAGTGGGCAGCCCTGGCAGATCCCTGCGCGGTGCTCGCGGAGCCCCGATACTTGGCCGGCGCCCCGCACGGCGAAGCGCCTGTCCTCGCAGATGGCGCCGCTGGCGTTGAGCCTGTGCGAGGGGGGACCATAGCGCGCCAATGCCCTCATCAAGGAGTCTGGGTGCACGCTGTCGAAAGCTTTCGCCCAGTCCAGCGCCAGTAGAACGAGCTGCCCGTCTCGCGCGGCCCAGGCTTCATCCAGGTGCCGCCTGGCGAGGAAGATGGCGTCGGCTGTGCCGCGCTTCGACTTGAAGCCGAACTGCGTGCTCCACGCGCGGTCTTCCGCCCCCGCGGCCTTGAGTCTCTGCAGTAGCACTGCGGCGTAGAGCTTGCAACCAGCTTGCAGTAGGCAGATTGGCCTGTAGTTTTCGCACAATCCGGGGTCACCCTTCTTAAAGATCACCGTGGAGAGGGATTCGTGCCAGGCGTCTGGAACAGCCCCGTCTGCCCAACATTTCTGGCGCAGCGCCAGTGCCCACGAGCGAGCTGGTGAGTCTCGTGCAGATCGCTTTCCAGAGGTCCCCCGGCGCGCCGTCTGGGCCCTGCGCCTTCCCCCACTTCATCTTATTTGCCGCCGCAATCACCTCCTCGACCGTGATATCGCCAGCGCTAACCGGAAGCAGGGGGCCCAGCGGCTCGGCGTTCATGGGCGTAGTGTTGCAAGTGGCCCACTGAACTTCGCTGTAATAACTATCCCGCGAGTGTCTCTGCGCGAGCATCTGAGTCCACCACGTGGCCGGCCAGATTCTGGACCCTGCCCTGCTTTGGCCGGAAGCACTTGCGAAGCTTGCGTGCTTCTTGCCGCGCCCCTGCTGCTGGGGGCCCGTCCAGCCAGTTGCCCCTGTCGTCCTTCACCCATTTCTTGACGTCTGCGTTGGGCGCCCGTTCGCGCGCGACGTTTCCATGCCTGCGCGCAAGTGTCCGCTGCTCAATGATGTTCGAAGTTCTCGGCGAAATCCATGGTTTGTGCGGGGCAGCAGGGAGCTCCGGCAAGCCTTACAAGGCGGCTGCGCGGAAGGTCTCTGCCATCTTCTTTTCGACCTCGTTCACGTCCATGTGCGCGGGGCTGGCGTTCTGCAGGTGGCAAGCGAATGCCTCGTTGAAGTTCTTGGCCGTTGTCGGTGCTCTGACAGCTGCCCAGTCCAGCGGGGCTTGCTGTGGACTGCGGGCCTCCTTCGGGGCGCTGATGTCAAAATCAGCAAGCACCAGAAAATGGTGTGACGCGAGAGCTCTGTCACGGACGCTGTGCACAGAGGTCAGCTGGTGCTTCCACTCTGCTGGCGCGATTACAGAGTCGATCTGGCCGAAGTTGTCTGGCGTAGGTTCGCGCTTCGGCGTCTTGCCCACGTCGCAGTAGGCCACCTGCCTCCCGGGCGGCTGCTCGAAGAGAGTGTTGCCAATGATGAGTTTGAATATGACGCAGAGCTCTGCGAGGAGACTTCGGTTGGATGACGCATTGTACTGGGCTGTGTGCTTGCCAAACACGCACTCCCCCACGATGCTCTCCTCGCCGGGGAACTTCCTGTGCAGCCTGGCGCTAATGTCTCCCAGAAGCAAGAGAGGGCCATGACGGGACACTCTGTGCAAGAAAGCGCCAAGATCTGCATAGAACTGTTTTCGTTCGTCGGTTGGCCCGCCACTGTGCGGGGCGCACGCGCTGCATACTACTGCTTTGCCGCCTTCTACCCGCAGCTTCAGACAGGCCATCCTCGCCGACTGTTGCCAGAAACCCACAATGCTCCTGCGAAGCTCTGGCGCGATGAGAAAACCCACTCTGGCTGTGTCGCTGCTGTCTGCGTCTGCGATGCCGGAAAGGATCGTGAGGAAACCAGAGTCTGTGACGTAATACTCAAACCCTGTCCGGTGCGTTTCCTGCAAGCAGAGAGTGTCAATGCCCATCTCTTTCATATGCCAATCGAGCTCGTCGTGTTTAGCTTCTGTGACCTTCCACGTTCCAGGTGGCCACTAGCAAGCGGTGGCCGCATGGGAGTAGAGGGCCGGATCTAAAATGCAACGCCATTTGTGCCCGGCTCGCCGTGGTAGAAGCTTCCACTGCTGTGTTAACGGCGGCTGACGCGTCCGTGCTGGCAGCGTTGCCGCTTGCCGCCGGGACGTGCATGCAAGTACAAATTCGTAAACGATTTTGGTTCATAGTGGCAGTAGGGCCGACTGCCGGTGAAACGGGCGAAACATTGCTCATGTGCCGTGGTTGCTAATGGGGCCTGGGCCCCGTCTGGCCTCCCTTTGAGCCTCCTTTGAAGCCCTGGCCCTTCGAGCCCTTCATGCCCTGGCTTGCCCTGGACAGCATGTCCGTGTTCTTCTGGAGGAGGTCCTGCACAGCCTGGTTGTTGTGCAGCTCCACCCAGGTCTCCCAGTCGCCGTGCCACTCGTACCGCACAGCGTTGTCCTCGACGTGGACCGTCACCGCTTTCTCCCCGCCAGCTGTGACCAAATATGGGGCCTCATCTGAGCTATGCACGTGGTACTGGAGCTGCCACTCGTTCTTGAAGAGCCGCTTGAGGCCGAAGCAGAAGTTCCGGGCCGCACGCTCCGGAGCGGGACGGTCAGGAGTCGCCCACAAGCTTTCCCTCCGCCTGGCTGGAGACCCGCCGCGCGGAGGAGGTCCACGGCGACGTCTCTCTCCAGTCCCCTGGAATTCTGCGAACAAGATGCCTTTGAATGCCCCCTTGGAGTACGTATTGCTCGGGGCTGGGCCCTTCAGCGCCATCAGTTTGTCCTTCAACCAGGTGGTCGGTTCCGCCATGCTGCTCAGCGCGTCCAGGTTGCCAATCACCGCCGTGATGTGCCGCTTGTCCATGTTCGTGCGCTGAGCGGCGCCCTGGGAAGGCGCGGCGCGGGTTGGCCGAGAGACCACAAGGTCCTTGATCATGTTCTCCAGCTTCTCGGTCCTGACTTCCGACACGTCCAGCCTGCTCTCCACGGACTGCAGGCGTTTGTTCACGACCACCATGAAATCGTTGAGGCGGGTGTCCAAAGAGCTGAACCCCGGGCGCAACTCCTCCACCGAGGCTGTGACGGGAGTCAGCTCCTGCCGGAGTAGCGACGCTATGCCGAGGATCGTGACCTCCTCCTGCGCGTTCCCGTCCTCCCGTACCTCCCCGGGCTGCGGCCGCACGTACGGCGATGGAATCATCTCCTCCTCATCCTCCTCCCCGCCATCCTCCATGCGCTGGTAGCAACTGTCTTTCAGAAGGGGCGTGGAAGGCGAGGCAGGACCAGGCCCCGTGCGCGCGACCTTCATCTTCCCCCACGGGTTGCCCGTCAGCAAGTCGCGAACCTGAGTACCAGCCCCCCGGGTAGTCCTTGGCCCATGTGGGGGAGGGGTCTGGGGCAGCACAGCCTCCAACTCCTTCTCGAGGTTCAGCGGGGAACGGCTGCCGGACATTGCGGCGCGCTCACGAAAGCAGGAACCGGAAACACCTCGGTTTACCCGCGTTCGCAAACACGGGCGCGGGGCTGCGGATGCAGATGCGGGGATGCAGATGTGGGGATGCAGATGTGGGAATGCCAGCAGCCAGTGGGCCCAAAGCATCATGGGCTTCTCCAGGATCGCGCAGATCAGCATCCTCATTTGGAAGCTCTTGCTGATGTGCAGGGGGCGCAAGCACCTCTTGTGCAGCAGGAGGCTGGAGTCCAGGAAATACGTGTTCAGCATAGGAGGCATGACCAACGGGTTGTAGATCACCAGTGATGTGCCGACGTGGCGCTCGCTGCATGATCCATTGGGCTGGCGGCAACGAAGACCTCAAGTAGCGGGTGTCCAGGGGGGCCAGGCGGTGTCGACGAGACTCCGACCTCCATGGGAGTGTCTTCGAAGTCGCCGTCAATGTGGCCGATGTGAGCCACGATGTGATCGATGCGAGCCAGGATGCGGTTCCTGGGGCCAGTGTGCTGACCGTCCTCCGTTGGAGGCTCTTGTGCAGCATTGGGCTGATGGGCAGGATGTGCATGCGCAACTTGAACAGCAGGAGGCTGACGTCCAAGAAGTACTTGCACGTCGCCAGGAGCATGCGCTACAGGTTGAAGCTTACCAGTGTGATGTGCCGATGTGGTGCTCGCTGCAGGATCCATGGGGCAGGCAGCAGCGAAGACTCCATGCGTCGGGCGTGAAGGGGGGGCCAAGAGGCGTCGACGCAACTCCGACCTCTATAGGCGCGCCCTCGAGGGTGCTGGGCCCCCCCGCGGTCAGAGCGGGCATGCGATCCAGGAAACCGCGGGCACGAAGGGGATGCTACAGCCTGCGGGGCCGATGGCGTCGACGAGGCAGCAGAGGGGACTGAGGAGGACAAGGGGACGAGGAGGAGGGGCGGGGGGGAGGGGGGAAGGGGAAGGAGGAGGAGGAGGAGGAGCAGGAGAAAGAACAGGAGAGGAGCAGGAGGAGGAGGAGGAGGAGGAGGAGGAGGAGGAGGTCTAAGAGGAAGTGACTCGAAGAGAAGGCAAGGGAAATGAGGAGTGGGGAATGAGGAAGCCCTGGCAGGCATTGCGATGTCGGCGATGCCTCAGACACGCAATGTCCCCCCCCACACCTCTTCACACGCGCGTTTTCCCTCCCCGCCCTCTCCCCCCATCGGGCACCCACGGTCCCCCGCGGGGGGGACGGGGAAGGTAGATGGGGGGGGGGCGAGTCTGGATAAAGGAAAGGATCAAGCGGCGCGTCGGTCAGACGGACGGGTCGTCGGGCTCGCGGCCTCCTCCGCCTCCGCGCGGGGGCAGCAAACCTTGGGCCAAACGTGGCTACGGATTCTTGCGCTGCGCGGTTTGCACCTCATCCGCGCGCAGTTCGAAAGTCCATATACATTGAGGTCTAACTGAACATGTAACATTGCGAGCGTTTTGTCTAAAAAAACAATTCGGAAGCAACTACCTACATTGCAATCGTGTGCAACTTTAGCTACCCTGTATACACGCGCAGACACTCATACTCACATAGTAAGTATGATGTTACATGCAAACGACTCATATTCAACCTATATAAAACGTACAAGCACATCGCAACTCAACTTATTTGTGCGACAGCGGCCACCGCCCGCGAAGCCGGATCTCGAGGCGAATCCAGCTGTGAAGACGAGGGCCTCCCAGGAGGTCCACAAAGGACGAAACCGAGGCCAGGGTGTACCCTGTTCTCCCCTGACTCCCTACGTCTCGACCCATTCCCCGGGACCAACTTTTCATTCCGCGTCGTTTCTTGACGGTCCCCCCTGGTGCGAGCGGGTCTGGGTCCAGCCCCCCCTCCCTTATAGGTGGCGACATCCGCACCCTACCCCCCCCCATCGATTCTCCTGAACCGACGGAAGGCGGGGGTAGGGTCAGGATTTCGCCACGTGCTTGACGAATTCCGAACCCTACCCCCGCTGCCCATCGAGTTGTCCAAATCGTTGATCGGCGAGGGTAGGGTTCGGCCTTCGCCCCCCTTCGGTCCCTCGGCCAACGAAGACGGCCTCCGGGAGGGGTGCCACCGTACTTCCACAACTCTGCCCTTAATACCTGAAAGCGCCACTTGCCACCAACGAGCGTTTCGAGGCGAATCCAGCGGTGGCGACGAGGGCCTCCCAGGAGGCCCCAAAAAGGGATGACGAGGAAGGGTCGCGGTATGGTCACCTCTTCCTCCTCTGATCGTGGATCTGATGGTCCAGGTCAATCCAGACCCGGCTCAGTCAGGCTCTTCAGGATCCTGCAGGATCCTGCGCCCAAGCCTGGGTCAATGCGACCCTGGCCCTGCAGGATCCTGCAAGATCTGGCCCCCTGGCGAACCCCTGGTTGCATTGACCCCCGCCTCTTGAGCCCCGATCTGACCTCCCCTCCCCGCGGTGGCGACGAGGGCCTCCCAGGTGGCCCCCCAAAAAGGGGAAACGAGGGAAGGCTCGAGGTATGGGTACCTCTTCCTTCTGTGATGATTAACAAAAAATGGCCCCTAACCCTTTGAATGGGGACCTATGTTAGGAGGGCCAAGAGCATTAGGGATAGGGCTCTTCTCTGCAGATGCAACGACACAAACCGCCCAGAATTATCATCACCGATGCGACGACGGGGACCTCAGTGAGGACACGTCTTCACTGTGTGATTAGGGTCAGGGGCTCTTCTATCCTTGATGACCTGCCCTGCCCTCCCTCCCCGCCACCGCCTGGGCCGCGATGGCCACGGCTGCGGTGGGCGCGCCCGCGCCGCGCAGCGGACTGCCCGGCGAGCGGCCGCCCCGCGGCGCCTGCGACGGCCGCCGCACGGCCGCCGCGGCGGCGAGCGGCCGCCCCGCGCAGGGCGGCTCGGCCGCGGCCGGCGGTGGCGGCGCGGCGAGCAGCCGGCCGGCGCAGGAGCTGGCCCGTGCCGGCGCGCCGCGCGAGAGGGCCTCTTCTGGCAGCTGCTCTGTTGCTGCTGGGGCATAAGGCCTCTTTCGTGTTTGTCTTATTGCTGTGGGGGCGTCCCGGCCTTCGCCCCGGGGCCGCGCCTCCTGGGTCGGCCCGGGGCCTTCGGCCCCCGGACCGATCCCGGCAACCCCGGAGCCTCCTCCTGGATCCGCCCGCCTGGTCGCGGGAGGCAGGAACGGAACGCGGCCCCGAGAGACTCGGCCAGGCGGAACTCGGCCAGGCGGAACTCGTCGAGACTGGCCTCGCCCAGGCTGAGCTCGGCCACGCTGACTTCGGCCCGGACCGAGTTCAGCCTGGCCGAGTTCGGCCTGGGCGAGTTCCGCCTGGCCGAGTCTTTCCCTATTCCTCGCGGGAGAGGGGGGGGGGCGGGCAACGGGCCCCGCGGGAGAGGAGAGGCCTGCAATTGCTGATCCACGTGGATGAAATCCATGTTCGCGCTTCCTCGAGGAGGGGGCCCCAGAGGTTTCGCTGTGTGCTGCAGGAACCCCCTGCCCCTCACATTGGCGAGCAACGACTGGGGGGGGGGGGGGGCGCCTGAGCGGAGGGGGAGCACCGAGCTGGAATCGGCGATCTGGAACCGGCGATACACCGCCAACATGTCGGCGATAGGCTCTCGATAGCGATGCCGCACTTTCCTGGGCGGGGCGGGCTATGAGGCCCCAATCGGCGATCAGTGCGACATGGGGGGTCGATGCATCTCCCGCGACTGCGCGGCCGGGCCTCGCGGGAGAGGGGGGAATTCACGGGGGGCACGGCGACCCCAATCTCCGACTTTGTGGGTTTTTCGACTGCGCCAACAATTTTAGGCCCAACTTGGGGATATGCGATGGAAGGGCGTCCTCCTCCTCTGGATCCTTTCGAGCCCCGGCGAAGCAAGCCCCGGCGAAACGCAACACGAGCTCCAGCGAAACGAGACCCCGGTGAAACGAGCCTCCAGCGAAACGAGCCTCGGCGAAACGAGCCCTGGCGAAACAAGCCCCGGCCAGACGAGACTCCGGCGAAACGATACTCCAGCGCGAATCAAGATTCTGGCGAAACGAGACCCGGCCAAACGAGACGGCCGAACCGAACTCCAGCGAAACGAGCCCCGGCGAACCGAGCTGGGCAGATCGAGACGGGCGAGCCGAGACCCGGCGCAGCGAGCCCCGGCGAACCAAGCCCAGGCGAACCCAACCCCGGCGAACCGAGCCCCGGCGTACCGAGACTCCGGCAAATCGAGTCCGTGCGCCAACGACGAGCCGCGACGACGACGGGGCACGACGACGACGACGACGATGACGACGACGACGACGACGACGACGCACGACAACGACGACGACGACGACGACGGTGAAAACGACAGGGCACGACGAAGACGAAGCCCTAGACGGGCTGCCTCGGCCCCGCCCGCCATGTGCCAGCCCAGCGGTACGGCGGCGGTCCCGTGCGGCGGCTGCCGCCGCTCGGGCGTCGTGGCCACGGTGCCGCTGAGCGGCACGCGCCAACCCAGCGGCACGGCGGCGGTGGGCGCAGGCGGCGGCCCGACCGACGGAGGACGGGGAGATGGGCGCTGCTTACGGTCGGCCCGTATCATAAGGATGCACGATAAGGATGCGAGGGCCTTGGACGCCCATGTCGAAGCTTTTCGAGCGGGGCGCGGCCAACGAAAGTGGCCCACGATGGACCGAGGAAGCAAGGATGCAAGGGTACCCTTGGGAAACTTGCCCATTCTTACTATGTGGGTTGACTGTAATGGGGGTTGATGGGTGGGAGGCGATGAGTGGGGGGCGATCAATGGGGTCGCAGGCGGCGGCCCGACCGACGGAGGACGGGGAGATAGGCGCTGGTTCAGGGGGGGGGGGGCGGTACATCAAGCGTGCCCCTTTCGTGCCCCATTTGGGCCCCAGGGGGGGGCCCTTCAGGTGCCGTTAACGGGCACAAGAAAGAACACGAGCCTTCACCCCCCCCCGATTGATCCCCCCCCCTACCCGTTACGCAACGCCCGAGGGAGCGGGCCGCGGGAGGGGGGCCGGGGCAGGGCCAGGGGAGAAAAGCAAGCCGAGAACCTTTTGCACTCTAGCGGTGGGCCTACACGCCAGCACCTTCAGGGGTTCGCGCCCGAACCCCCACCGCCGGACAACGAGGAGGAGAAGCCACATTTCGCACGATGGGTTCAAGGGGGAAGTTCTGGGCGACGAGGACGAGGACGAGGAGGATAACGAGAGAAAGCAGGGATGGCAGGGGCGAGAGAGACAGAGAGAGAGAGAGAGACAGAGAGAGAGAGAGAGAAACGAACATGAACCTTTGGAGTGTTCGCCAAGGCGCAGCAGATGGAGGGGGCATGGCCCCATACATGTACTTCGGTAAGCGATTATCGATTCCCCCCAGTGTTATCCGCAGCAAGAGAAAAGCCTTCCATAAGGGGTGACCACCGAGCGATACCGTTAGCACACAAAACAATACATCAATTCTGGGGGGGGGCACAAATTCTCAGGAATCTCCGGGGATCTTCCAAGGATCCTGCATGGACCCTTAGGAATCCTTCACGGATCAATTTGGAATCCTCCCGATTGATTGTACAAGAAACGGGCATCTCACAGGACCCTTCGGCATCATGGAGGAATAACTAAAAAACAATGGTGAGGAATCTGGAGAAATCCTCCAGGACCGGGCAACTAACATCGCTCGACGCGCCATTTCTCTGTTCCCCAAACAATGCTTGCATTGAGGGGTTCTTGCATCTCATTCCCTTGCTAACGAACTAGTTGAATCCGGCGTTGCTTCGACACGTGGCCACCTCGTGGCCGCCTCGTGGTCTCCCCTGGCCGCCTCGTGGCCGGCCTCGTTTTCCACGCTGCTGCCCGTGGCCACCTCGTGGCCGCCTCGTGCGCTGGGTGGGTCCGCCGGGGTTTCGCCATGTTGCCCACCTCGTGGCCGCCTCGCGCGCTGAGTGGGTCCGGCGGGGATTCGCGACAATGCCGCCCATGGCCGCCTCGTGGCCGCCTCGTGCGCCAGGTGGGTCCAGCGAGGTTTTGCCGCGGTCGCCCGTGGCCGCCTCGTGGCCGCCCGTGGCCGCCGCGTGGCCTCGCCACGTTACCGTCCTTGGCCGCCTCGTGGCCGCCCTCGTGGCCGCCCTCGTGGCCGCCTCGTGGCCGCCTCGTGGCCGCCTCGCGCGCTGGGTGGGTCCGGCGGGGTTTCGCCACGTTGCCGCCCGTGGCCGCCTCGTAACCGCCTCGTTGCCGCCTACTTTGGGGATCCGTCGAGGTTTCGCCGCGCTGCCGCCTCGTTGGCGCTTGTAGGGTCTGGCTCATGGCTTGCAGGACATAACATAGCAAACCCACACACACACACACACTACACAGCTTACACAACCTAGCTCATATCACACAGCTCACACCACGCAACATAGCTTGCCTCACATAGCTTACACCGCATGGCTCACACCACGGGGTTCACACAGCAAAGCTTATGTACACAGCACAGTGCACACCACATAGCTTCACGCCGCATAGCTGAGACAGCCTGGCTCACCTAACATAGCTCAAAACACATAGCTCACACGTCATAGTTTACACATCATAGCTTACACAACACAGCTTACGCCGCATAGCTCACACCACATCATTTACACCGCATGGCTACCACCTTCACAATGCAGCAACAACCTCCTGCTTGGGCCCACGATGGTTAACATCTCCTAACCAATGCCATGGCAAACAAATTAATGGACTCTGAATGTGCTGTCTGTTGGACGGCAAGCACTTGCCCACACGATTAATTGAACAAACGGCTACGGGCGGGGCGACGGGGAGGATAATGACGACGGAGGAGGAAGATCGGGTCCTCGTCGTCGTCGTCGCCGCCGTCGTCCTCATCCTCCTTCGCCCTCCCCCTCCTCAGGGAGGGGGACGGGAAGGGAGAAGAAGAGAGAAGAAGTGAGCAGGAGGGGCAGAAAAGAAGGGCGAGCAAGCAGAAAGGGGGGGGCGGGCGGGACAGGGAGGGAGGAGAGAGGAGAGCAAGGAAGCAGGTCGCGTGCCGCAACTGTCGTGCCCGCGTGCCGCTGCCACTCTCAGCACCAGCCCTGACGAGGCCCTAAGGGCCGAAGAAGGCACGGGCGTGAGAGCCTCATAGGAGCCAGGCGTGAGGAGAAACAAACACACACACACACACACATATATATATATATATATATATATATATATTGGGGGGGAAGGTCAGGGAACACGCGAAGCACCAGCCAGAAGCCACTCGCCGTCAGCTGCCTGCAACGCCACCGGCGGACAAATCCAGCCAGGACTGCAGGGGCACAAACAAATGTCACGGACTCGGTGCGCGGGCGATTTTCCGCCACTGCTTAGGAGAACACTCTCCCAACAAAACGTGGCTCTTTTCCCGCCGCGGGGAAAGCAGAGAAGCGGAATAGAGGAGGGGGAACACAGACAAGCATGACCGGACCGCCAGAACTACGACTTAATAGCATCCTCCAAGAACATGAGACCCTCCGCCGCCCCAATCTGAAGAAACATTCGAGGATGTCCACCCCAAGTATGCACAACGAACATCCAACAAGCACGAAGAACATCAGGGTACCCTCCCCGAGCAGACCTCGACCCTACACCTCGGCTCGGCCGTAAGCCGCAAGCTTTCGGAGGTCCGCGCGGATCTCCGGGATCGGCGCTGGACCCCGCTCCCCGGCGCGCGGAACCCTCCAAGAGAGGCGAGCTCTCGTGCAGGCCCACGTGGGGCGGCAATCCGCTGGACCTGCCAGGAGCTCACGAAAGTGGCGACGGTTGCGCAGCTGGCAGCCCCCAGAGAGGCAAGCTCCCACTTTGTCTGCGTGGGGCGTCACTGCGCTGGACCTCCCAGGAGAAGTGGGGCTAGCGGCATCGTCGGAGCAGGGGCGAGTCGAGACAACGGCAGCTCAAAATCGATCCCCAGACCCCTCCGGGGTCCAAACGCACCAGCTTTTCCGAGCTGCATCCAGCCGTGGCGACGAAGGCCCCCCCCCCGAAGGCCAACTTCAGCTTCCCATGTCTCAGCTCGCCCTGCTCTGATAGCCGTATCTCTCCTTCCACCGCTGAGGACGAGCAGGGACGAGGAAGGACGTGGAGGGACGAGGCGGGACGAGGAGGGACGAGGAGAGGAGTGCCGAGGAGGACGAGGACGAAGAGGGACGAGAAGGACGACGGCGACCAGCACGCCGCTGGCTGGCCGACTCCCCGGCGCGCCCTCGCCCGGCGCCGGCGCGGCCATCGCCTCGCCGCGCGGCCCCCGCGGCGCTCCTGGCCCGAACCTCGACGGCTGCAGGCGCGACCGGCGCGTCCTCCGGGCCCTGCGGGGGCTTGGGTGCTGTTGGGAGCCGCGCTGCCAGCCAGTAGCCGCATTGCCACGGCCGGGTTGTACGGTGCCCTCTCGGGCCGTGTCGGGCACAGGACCCGCTGTAAGGCGCGCTGTTTCTTCTATCTCGTGCCTGTCCTCCTCTCGGGCGTTGCTGCAGTCCTCGTGCTACCATGAGCTTTCTGGCCACGGCGGGCCTGGGCCACAAGCAGGCTCCGCGGCACAGGCCTGAGGGAGCGGGCCGAACAGCCGAGCCCCTCCTGAGCCCAAAGCGGTCCCTGTTGCAGCGTCTTGACTCCAGAAGTGTCCCTGGCCCGCCCCCGCCGCCTCCAGAGCACCCCTCACAAGGCCCAGAGGGCCCCAAGGGCTCCAGAATGCACGGAAAGGCTGGGGGAGCACCTTGTGCCAAGAACGCCGTTAGCACCATCCGACCTTCTGAGGAGGGAAATGGCAAGACGAAACCAGGACCGGGACCTCAAACACTCATTCATCCCTTCTCTTCGTTCTCCTGTTCCACCTCTTTCTCCCTTCAACCCGCTGGAGCCCTTCTACCCCCCATGGAGTCCACTTGGACTTCGTGCAAGCCGCCTCCTCCACTTTCCTCCCTATTCCTCCCCACTCTAACCTCCTCTCTCCTCGTTCTCGTCCTCCCTCCTCCTTCCTCCCTCCTCCCTCCTTCTTCCTCTGCCCGTCACTGACCTCACCTCTCCTGCCCCTCCCCCCCTCCCCCTCCTCATTCCTCGAGCGCGGCCGCGGCGCAGTAGTCCTGGGTTCTGGCCTCCAGCGCTGCACGACTCAGCGCCGCAGCTGGACGCCAGCTGCTGGAACGAGGGCGGATGGTTCGATCTGGGTGAGGGCACGCCCTGTTTGGCCTTGGGCCCTTGGAGAGCGAGCGGCCGGGTAGAGGAGACAAAAAGCGATGGGAACCTCCCCCTCCTCCTTCCTCCCCCCCGCCTCCCCCTCCCCCTCCCTGGTTCTCTCATCCCAAGGATGGGACTCCCGAAGAGTCACGACGACATGCACGCGCCCGCTCGGCCGCCTGGGCGGCGCCCTGGGCCCTCCCGCCTCCCTGGCCTC